CTGTTTTTAAAGAAAAAAATAAATAACTGCGACCGAGCAAAGCGAAGCAGCGGCAGCACTGGAATACAAGTTATTAGAGCAAAATGATTTCCAGAAGGATGAGCACGTGTGTCCAAAATAAATGAATTCAATTTTTAATTCAATTACTGTTTTATGTTCAAGGTGGGCAATGCAGAGGAGGCAATCCACTGCACTTTAAGGCTAAAGACACAAATCTTTCCGAAACAAATCAAGATTAAGCCGCTCGTTTTACATTTATTAAAAAGAAAAAGAAGGAGAAGAAGAAGAAGAAAAAAAAGCCTGGGGTTTTCCTTTCAGCAGAGCAACCCTCAGACTATCGACTTCACTAAAAAGAAAACCTTAGGTTAATGGTTCTGTAAATTTCCCCTCTCTAACAGTTTTAATTGCACTACACAAGAGAAACATGGCTTTGGGAGTCAGACGCTATGATCTCCTGCCATAAGCATTAGAATGGAGGCTCACCTTGCTTTCTCTGGATGCTGCTGGTTGACATTTAACATCACAGAGAGAGGGGAGGTGCAGAGCCAGGTGCCCTACATGCACATTTGACCCCCTGCTAATGTCATAAGGGGAAGGTCCCACACACCCTTGCTTCGCTCATACAAAACACTACAAGGCTGCAGAGTACTATCTAAGTAATTACAGATAGACTTTAGTTACCTCTTAATATTTACATGTATATAGCATAATCCTGCAACTTAACGTTTCCACTGCATGAAATAAAAAGCTCAGTGTTTTATTGAATTATAAAGAACATATCAGTGTCTGCTGCTAGAAAGTGCAACGCTTCCTTATATTTGCACATTGTTAAATGTGCAAATATAAGAGCATTTTAGGTAATCATTAGGAAATCAACATCTCTTTTCTTTATTTTAACTAAGGCAAAAACACAATTCTCTGCAGCATGAGGAAGGATGCAGCACACTTTGGAGGGCACAACAAACACAGCCAGCAGGCCTGTAACCCAGTGCAGATGACCTGGTTCTGCTTGCACGCAACCATGAAATAACAACTGCTGTTTAGAGTTTGATGTTAGCTTGGGGAGCGTACTGTCCCTGCTCAAGCTAAGCAGGCAAACCTTACTGTCAGGATTTGCTTGGAAAAAAAAAATTGCAATCAGGTCATGTCCTAAAACAAAGCAGGTGCTGCATCTACTGGGTTATTCTCTAATTCTGGAGTCTGCTCATTGCAGGTCAGGACTGGTGGCACATATAACGCTGTAACCCATATAGTCTTTTTTTTTTTTTTTTTTTTTAAACACACTGGATGTTGAAAAGTTTCTATAATTTCTGATGACTGAACACATAGAGATGTCAGAAAATAAGCATCTGTGATGAAAAAGCACAATACAAAAATATGTGGAGCTTACTAAAATTTAATAGTTAACTATTTTGTTCGTAACAACCTACTAATGACATCTGTAAGGACTCAGAACAGCCACATATATGCATTTTATAATATAAATGTTTTTATATAGGTTGTAGAAACACATGGTGAAATGTGTGTGTTTGTGCACTTTTTTAAGCCACTTACAAAAGGACAATTTGAATAATTTGAATACTGTGTATTTATTATTTTTTAATAAACATTTTTTTAAAGAATAAATATATTCCAAAGGCAATAATAAATCCACACAGCGGTTTGCATCTTTATAGTCATCCCGTGGATGATTTTTGAATGTAAAGTAACAGCAAGAAATTGTCACTACCGAAGGCGCACAATGTCTCACTACCACTGCTAAATATTCTCCATATTTCCACTCACATTGTGGAAATGCACAGTATGCCCCCTCTTTCTTATGTGGTACTGCAGGTATGTTTACCTGCCTATGTTGCTTATGTGCCATCACAGATTGGGCATCTTTTAATTTAAGCCAGAAAACCAAAATAAATGCCTTTTTTTCTTCCCCGCTTCCTCACAAGATCATTGAGGACAGCTGTGATTGCTCCTAACTTGATTTAATATCAATTTTGAGAAATTACAAAAGCCATTTGGAAATACATCAGAATCTGTTAAGTGAATGATACTGCCACACATTTTAACACATAAAAATATGCAACAAATTTGAACTTGGGTTTAAAAATAACTTGGCATTGATCAGCAAAATCAAAGCATGGATAATAATATCCCCACCAAAAAATATATAAAATAAAATATTAACTACAGTTTAACTATTGTGTTATAACATTTTTTACTAGAACTAATATGCTAAAAAAAATAAGACAAAAATTATAAGCATATTAAACCAAGTCTGCATAGATTTTATGGAGTAAACTGTAGCACAAAATGAGCCCCACTGTGCAGGCTGTGTGATGTTGGGGTAAGGCCTGATGCATGATACAAAAAAAAATAATAATAATTAAAAGGGAGGGGAGACTGATAGAAAGGCAACGGTTACCAAGGCCTCTCAGTTTGGTTAAAACTGATGCAACTACAACGTTTACTACTGCAGAGCACATAGCTCACAGCGACCCTGCACACACTTTCCTACAGACAGCACGTTCGCGTTTCGACCTGACTTCCAATTCGTTTCACTGACTGCCAAAAATAAAAGACCAACAACACCGACGCTTATTTGGGAGCTTTTAATGCTCACGCATGCCACACAGGTTTGAAATGAAATTAATATCTTGTTGTTGTTGTTTTTTTTAATTAGTTAATTAACTAATTTTACTCCATAGGGTCACATATAGTTTGATCTTGAGTAAAATGAATGTGGTTGTCAGGACATTCTCACACAGGTACGGTTGATGTGGCCATGCTGCAGAGGAAGGCCTGCTTCAGATTTTTTTTTGTCGGCTTAGACAGCAGCCTCGATCGAAGACGCACAGCACAGACCGCATTTCGATGTCGCCTTACATCTAGTTTTGTTGTTGTTGTTGTTGTGGCACTTGTTCCCATAGGCTCCGTGTGCAGAACGCTGCGCACGCAAAGGGCGTTTCGATGCGGCAGTTTCTCTGTGTTTTGACGTTAAAGAACGGCTGTCACGGCGATTATGCGACTCCCTTACTTCACGCAGATCGGTTTATATTTCTGTTGTACTCTCTTTTGTTCTTCTCGAGTCCAGAACAACGTGTCGGTGTGCGACAGAAATCCCTATCCGGACGTGTTGATCGCAAATCCAGCAGAAGTGCGAAACAAACAGGTTCGGTTCGATAAGAAGTCCAAATCCTGCTGTCCGTGAGTTCCCATCCGCCTTCTGCGCGGAGTCCCAACTTCTACCATTAGCCCACAACTTTTACAAACTTCCACCTCTGTCCAAATGATGGAATTTGCAACTGCAGCCACAAGTTATTTCTTTCTGTTTCCTCCCTACTTCTTTCCCACCCTTGACGCCCCCCCCCCCCCCCCCTTCCTCTCAACCCCCTTTTTTTCTCAAAAGAGAGGCCCACCGGCTGCCTCTTGATTAATAAATGTTTAGGCTATGTGTTTTGAAGTGAGGGACAAAAGGGGTTGGCCTGTGACCCCTAGGAGCCCCGACCTTGCGCAGGTTCATTGTGAGGCGCTGGGAAAGGGGCTTTGGGACGGAGACCCCGGGCCACTGACCCACACACATCCCAGAGCCCTGCCATTCATGTGCGCACCGCTGCATGTCGCCCCGCAGCTTCCATTGATTCAGCGGGAACAATAGCCTTACACCCCTCTACCTCCTCCCTCTGCCAGAGAAAAAGCAGCTTTCAAACTTCCCTATATGTCGCCTGATGCAAGCCTGAACAGAATTTCTCCTCTAACGCTTTAAATGAAGAAGAAAAATGTTGACAAAACGTTAACGCTCTCAGTGGTATGTTCACCCGAGTTGCATCACAACTTGGGTGAACGTTGCATCATTGCACTGACTGGATTCTTGCAGCCGTCAAAGGCCAACACTGTAACAGAGTGAAACAATGAAACGGTAACGGAGGGAAACTGTGAGACAGAGGATGGATGCTCGGAGGAGGACGAGATGACAGAAAGGAAAGAACTCGAAGAAACAGCGCGTGAATAACACCTGTGGGGTGATTTTAACGCTGGAGTCAGATATACGTTAATAAGTTGGAGGTAAAGCGGGCATTATTGCGCCTGGGCCACAGGGTTAGCAAGGTTACTCTAATGACATCATCCGTTTCGATTGGATCTTTGCCTGGAAGTCAATCACGGCAGGGAGTGAAGGGGACACAAACGAGCAGTGCAGGACTGCCACTTGCTTCAATCAATTACTGCTCCAATTTTGAATGCACAAGCAAGACTCCCTAAAAGGAAGCTACGCCTTTGCATGTCAGAAGTTACGTGTGGTAAAGGAAGAGGCCGTAAGAAAAGGAAAGAAATACAAGAAAGAAAGAAAATGCGTGTAAAGAAAACGCTTAACTTTATTTACAGGCCTTTAACAGCAAAACAAGTTTTATGGGTCTATTTACAGAGACAACAGCCCCCCCCCCCCCCCCCCCCCCAGCTTAAAATATTCCTCATTTAATCTATGCAGAGACAACACACAATTGAACTAACAGCCTATAGAAATTGAGTTGCAAAACCGGTGGCCTGATGCGTGAAACTGAAATGAACCTCTCAAGACAAATGGCGTTAAACATGATTAATTGTGGCCGGCAAGAAGGCGACCAGACTACACAGTCCTACCGTCAGGCTTCACCAGATTATAGAGCAGTTATTCCCACGTATAGACCACATAAACTACAACATGCTGCTAAAATCCCCACTGAAACGCAGTCTGACGTGTATAATAATGATAATAATAATAATAATGATAATGAGCAAATCAGATAAATGATCGCTTTAAATCACTGGATATATAGAACTTCCAGAACGCGCATATTTGAGTGTCTGCGAGCGAGCGCGCATTTGTATGGATAAACGCGTGTTGTGCGCGGGCATGTGAGAGGAGAGAGAGAGAGAGAGAGAGAGAGAGAGAGAGAGATTTTACTCATTGTAATGCACAGAGCGACCTGCCCTCTTTTTGAAAAAAAAAAAAAGCGAGAAAGCGCAGCCATGCTTTGCAGAGGCTACAGCGTCGCTCTCATTGGTAGCGTCAGCTTCTCGCCACACGGAGTCTTTGCTCGTTCGCTGCTACACGCCGAGAGAAACCGGGAATACACAGCGACTGCCTAGAGCTGCGGTGAAGTAATAACGCTCAGATGAAGTGAAAGAAACAGCAGGGCACGGATAAATACGAGCAGAGCGCACGGTGTGCTTGGGATCCACCATATGGCGTGGACCATTTCCACGGTGAGTATTTTCCGCCGGCGTTTGCTTTATAATCAAGCCTTTGAGCAATTATTGATGAGCTGATTTGCGTCTTTTTGCTCCCGCCGTTGGTAACGCGTGCGTTTTAAGAGAATAAAACGGATGGCGATCGTTCTCCGTGCAGATAACGGGTCCCTGTGCACGCTGCACTTGCCATTGTTATTGCGGGCTTCAGGGAAAAATCCACTACTAGTTTAAAAAAAAGGATGAGTAAAGACGTTAGAAAAAGCCGAGCAGGCTTAACGAGCGGGATTTGTTTTTATGGTTTCATGATTGTTCAGAAGGGGGAAGAGGACGGAGGATATCTGAGCCTCATCGTTTGTTCGTTGCACGGCGCGTGAGGACAATAGGGGTCATTTTCTTCTGGGAGGCGAGAGAGGGAGAGGGAGAGAGAGAAGAACTGGTGAAATATGGTGATTTGCTGACAAGTCGCGATGGAGCTCCAAACAGGGGTCGACGCGAGAGTCGGACTGTTTTCAGGGGATAGGGACGTTTCCGTCTAAAATGGCGATTCCCTTTGTTTCTGTATCCCTCTCCTCTGTGTTCCAGCGAGTGGGTGATGCATTGCAATTAGCCTACAATCTACGAGCCTGCGCCTTCTCTTTCCCACTCCACAGTGCTTTTTGTGTGTGCGCGCGCTCTTTAACTGTAAAACAGGAGCCGTAATTTTTTTTTTTTAAACGCTGAGCTCAGGAGATCCTCACAGTTGTGGGCAGGTGTCCGATGCGACTCTTACTCATAAACAGCAGTGACTTGGGTTGAATTTAAGCTGCTTTCGCTCTAGTTTACAAGATATGCAAATCACCGTGTGCTCCGTGAAGTCTGCATCGCTGCAGATTTCACCGGGTTATAGCTGAATTGCACAGATTCTAGGATCTCTGTCAGTTTCCCACTCAGTTGAGGCATTCGACAGGAGAGGAATTCGCATTTATGCACGTCTGAGCCACTTTCCCGTTACATTCAGCGTGCGCGTTATATAATCTGGCCATAGCACGCATAATGCACCTTGCAGTTTAGTGAACGTCACTGATTAAAAATAATAATAATATTTTGAGGGAGTAAAAATCAGCTACAGCTCATCACCAGAAGCTAAATGCAGCACTTGTCAAACTCACGTCAAGCGGCGCGATCAGAATGACACAAGCATCTCTCCATCGTTACTGTGTGCAGGGAGTGCGTGTGCGCATGCCCACGTGAGTGTGGGTCTATGTGTGAGTGTAGGTACACGTGTGTTCTCTCTTCTTTTCTTTTCTTTTTTTTTTTGAATAGTGCAATGTTGCATAACTGATCACAGCCAATGCCAGATTTGGGGCTTCACAATTTGCTAGACCATTGTTGGCATTTCCTCTGCCAGCACGCGCACATCCGCATGCACGCACCAACGCAAACACACACACCAACCAGCAGCAGAACTATTAACACATGTAAGCGATAAACGTTAATTCTCGGATTGGGAAGTCGTCAATTTCCCTCCTAGTTTCAAGGACACGGGGCAGCGATGAGGAGGACGCTGGGTAATATAGAGGAACATCTGTTTGCCTGGTGACGTCAGCACCCCCCCCCCCCCCCCTTTCATCCCAATCCTCTTGTGCTGAAGGCAGATGCCTCATTTGTTTGGCTGGAGCACCATTAATCCCAAAGTCAGAGGAAAAGACCGGACGGAGAGAGATCAGTCCCATTTAGGTGGTGCCCGCGCCGGGATCAGCTCGGTCTCGATGTCCCGGTGCGTTTGCTACGGATGGACGCGCGCGCACAGTGCGCACCGATGCGCTCAGGACACCGGCAGTTTCTCGGGGTTCTTCGGCTGCCCGGTTTGCGATTTGCGGCAATTTTAACCTGTGACCCGCAAAGAGAGGCTGCAGGCGTTTGTGTGTGCGTGTGTGCGTGTATCTATAGATGATGTGAGGAGGGCGTTATGAGGCTATAGGAAAATCAATATTTTGCACGCGGACCTTTTTCCTCCTTTTTTGGACGCCGAGTGATGTTTCTGAACAGGTCAATGTGGAATATGAGAATTTGTCATTTGCAATTCAATATGACGCATTTGTGTTTTCTTTTTCCTTAGGTGCACTATGGGATAATGGAGGATTTTTTTTTAATGCCTTCCTCGGTTTTGGACAAAAAGCAGTCGACGGACACGGATCAAGTCATTTTTGACTGCTAAAGCGGTCTGGGACGTATAATCACTTTGCCTCCAAACTGGCTGTTCTGCGTTAAAGTCCTGTAACTTAACCTCTTTTTTTTCTCCAGCTGAATGTTTTTCCCCCGCTCACACACACACTCTAAGGTAGGCCTGTACAATCACCGGGAGAGGATCTGATCTCTTTTGATGCATACGGGATGCTTTGGATTTTAAAAAAAAATCTTTACATTTTTGGCCAAACTTGACATCCCAAAAACATCTTTAGTTACACGTCAGAGGCCTCGGAGGCTGCAGAAATAAAGACTGATTATTATTTGTCGTAACAGGTTTTACGCAAAGGTTTGGAGGTGTCTGCCCTTTTCCCACAGTAGAGTGGATGCAGCTGGTGGACGGACACACACACACGCGCAAACACACACAGATGAGCGGGTTGTGTCTCTCCGTGTTCACAGCGGACCTTGATTTAATGTCTTACAATTAAGGCACGCGGTGAATGCCAAGAGATGATCTTCCTATCTTCTCCGATCTGCACACCCCAGAAATCAAAAGTTTAAAGTTGCAGATTTATTTTTTTAAGAAAAAAAAAGATAGATAGCCTATAATGTTATTAAAACTATACTGGTGGCGTTCTCACACTGAACTTTTGCTCTTGTGTTTCAAACTGTAATTCGTGTGCCGTCATTCGTGTGCTGTCTCTTTTCCTCCTGCATTTAACAATAAACAAAATACAATATTTGAAAGCTCTTTATTTATATGAACATATTTGCTCCAGTGTGTGTGTGTGTGTGTGTGTGTGTGTGTGTGTGTGTGTGTGTGTGTGTGTGTGTGTGTGTGTCGGCGGGAGCTGTCCATCCTCACATAGGCTACCCGGAGCGCTGTCCACCCTCTGTGGTGCTGAAATCTGCGCGCCACCGATCAGCCTTTTGTTTCACTTGCCCGCCGGTGGAAAAGCGGAAATGGCTCAACTTCTTCTCTGTAGTGCAGGAATGCAGTCCGGACTCCTCGACGTAGAAACGCAAGCAACTGCGTTAGAAGAAATTTCGACATTCTTGCATTTTGCAGGCACCTCAAATGTTCTTTATGTACATATATTTACTTATTAATTTATTCTAAGTGTGGAAATTCGTGAAAATCTGCAAATGGAGTGACGGCTGGCATTACCGTTGAGCTCATTCGGTTCTAAAAATAGCATAAAAACATCCCCACACATTTTTACTTCTAATCATCGTCGCACGAATTTATCAGCGACCCATTTCCCCCCTAAAACTTGCTTAGAGGAAAAAAAAATATTTTGTACAAATGACAATTATCACAGTAAAGAGGTTCTAACCCCCTCCCCCCACAAAAACCATATAGAGCCTCGCGTGACAAGGATAATAAACCATGATTTATTGGATCTGCATATTAATTTCCAAAAGTACGCGTGGTGCCTTTGCGGAATGTAAATGAGGAGGACGACCGTGGAGCGTGTGGCTTAAACACTCGCATGGACTTTAAACGAATATCAGGTTTTTAAAATGTGCTTCACCAAAATCATTGGCTCAAGCAGATGAATGCAGACCACTAACTGTGAGAGTCTTGTGGCATTTCCGCTGGATGAAATAACATCCTTCGATCTTAGTGTGTCGCCTGGTGGCGTCCGCACGCAATATCAAACCGTAATGGAGACTCTCTCTTCCGGACAGTTAAAGATCAGTGGGGCTTCATTTAGTACGACTCATGTTAGAGTATTTATTTATTTATCTGGACGCATTTCTGTTTTTCATTCAGATGATTGGCTCCATGTTGCACACACCGACAGAAAATAATCAGATCTTAATTAATGACATGAGTCTGTGCGCTTCATGTAGATAGAAGGATAAGCGGGGCCTGGCTAAAGTGGGGAGGGGAGCACATAAAAGTCATTTCACCAAATCATCAGTTTATTTCCTTTAAGTCTTCCAGAGAAACATATCTGGATCAGCGTAAGCATAAACTGAATCTCTAAGTACAGTCAACGGATTCCACAGTGCGCATGATCGGTTGCCGTAGTGTTTAAAATCAGCTGAGTGGTTAAGGAGGGGGACTGACAGTTTAAGAAGTCCGCTCTAACATCCACCTGCTCGGGTGGTTAATATCATTACAAATGAAACTACAACTCGGTCGCCTCATGAATTAAAAAAGAGCAGTCTGCCTGCCGTGTCATGTATTTGGTACACTGGTGGGTCTCAGTGCAGGGAACCACATTACAAAATTGAAATTTCATATCTGAACTCAGCAGCCCTGGAGTCTGGTTTCTACTGATAACCAAAATCTTCAAAGTTGAATGAAATCCATGAGGCTGCCATAAAGCATGTTCATCATGCTCCTGCTTTGCCTTCAGCTCCTCCTGCACGGGCTGCTCAGGACGTCAGAAGAACTCTGCTGCCCTCTTGTGGCGGAAATTGATAAATGCTGTTAAACAGCACATACAAGATTTAGTAAAGAGCAAATTCTTAAAGATCCCCTGAAGGCATGTTTATAAACAGGCTCTCTTTTGAGTGATATTTTTTTGGGGTGATATCGGGTTTTTTTTGTTTTTGTTTTTTTAAAAATTATTTCCATAAAAAGCTCAGCGTGGTTGGAAAGCTTGAAAATGGCACTACGAGCTCTTCCATTATTGAAATAATGGAGAAATAGATCAGTGTTGTTTGGCTTGTAACAAACAGGAATTCCAGCAATACAAGGGTCAATGTAAAGAAATAAGAACACATTAAAAAAAAAGATAAAACACCACAGATTAAATTTTTTTTTTAAAAAAGAGTGAAAAAAATAAAAATAAACATGTCGATCAATGCCTCATCAAACAAGTTTTGTTCTAAAACAAAACAAACAAACAAAAAGCTAAGGATTTTTCCTCCATGTTTTTTTCTATCCATCCATTCTCTTTTGCTTATCCAATTCAGGGTTGTGGGCTGGGCAGGTGGGTGGGGGATCCCATCCTAGTTACCATAGGACAAAAGTAAAACCTGGAAATGTCGCAGCAACACAGAGAGACAAATAACCATTCACACTCACACTGGACTGTGGGAAATACTCAAAGAGAACTCACACAATCACAGGGAGAACATGCAAACTCCACACATGAAGGTGGAGACGAACCAGAACCTTCTTGCTGTACGGCAACCGTTTAGTTAACTAAAATGTTCCTTCACACATGTAGTTTTAGTTTTCAGTTTATATTTAGTTAACTACAATAACCTTTGTTTTTAGTCAACTATAATAACCTTGCTCCAAAGCAAGCTGCATGTGTTAAATTCTGAAACATGCATCATTCTGCAGTGAAGCTTCCATGAAGAGTCACCAATACACCTTTTTAAATGAGGACAGAGGAGAAAACAGATGATATTATGAGTGTTGGTAAATTGCATTTAGAAAAACGTGATTTCAGGAGATAAAAGCAAAAAAAAAAATAATAATAATAATAATTTATGAGCATTTTGTTAATGTATTTGTTTGTCTGTTTTTAAAAGCAACAATTCAAATTATATTTAATGGAGTCAAAGTGTGTCAATGGCAGAACATAAAAAACTAGATATACTTCTATAAATAATGTGTCTGACCTGGATTATAAAACGTGGATTTATGTCTGGAATAGTTCCAAGTGTTGCAGTCCTACAACAAGCTCCAAATGCACAGTTTTGTCTGAGAAACAGTCCAAGTCTCAAAGATATTTTACAATAATATAAGGCAAAAATGATCATTACTACATTGGAAAGGCTCCCCCTTCTTCTTAACAACTCTGCTTGAAAAATGAGTCAGTTTAATCCGTCTATGTGTTTTTGTTTTTACTTTTCAGCATCTAAACTTCTCTTTTGTCCCAGCAGAAATCCTTTTCTTCGACAGTTTTGCCTTCATGGTCTCCTCATTACCAAAGTGCTGACGTACTGTGACTGTAATGGCTGTGCCACCGTCCTCACCCATCTTATCTCATTAGCCGGACCTGATTGGCCATGAAGGTGTTCTCTTGCCATCTCAGAATAAAGTGACTGTCTTTGCCACTTCTTAGATCATAACTCCCCAACTATTCCCCCCCCCCACCCAAGAGAGACATAAGCAAATTAAAATATGTTCGGAAAGAGCTAAAACGTTGACCTTGAACGTGTGGAACAATTTCAGCGCTTGTGATGCTGTTGCAAAGAGAGGATTCTGACTTTAATTACCAGTTTGTATAATTCTTTACAGTAACTAAAGGGAGATTTAGTAGTACTTATATGAAAGATATGAACATAACAAAGGCCAAACGATGTCATTTTTAGAGAACAAAACACATCTTAACATTAAAATTAGAGTCTACTTTAAACATGGAGACTGATATTTCATTCTTTTACTATAAATGTTTCTAACTCTGAGGATCTAGCTACAAATCCCAGTAAATTTATCAATAATACTTTGTAATGAATCATTTTACATCTGACCAGATACTGTCAACACAGTATCTGTTAACTCAGAACTTGCTAAGATGCTTTTCAGACTGTTTTTGAAGTCATGACTGCAAATGGATTTTACAGACTAGCTAAGAAATAAAACAGGGAAGAATGGCATCGCAACTATTTAAATTAAAATATCTCAAATGTTTCTACTCTCTGACTCCATTTCTCTCCATGTCACAAATGGAAAAACATGATTTCAAAACAAGACGACTTTCTGGAATATCTTCAGTGGGTGACTCACTGAACAGACTTTTCCACTGATATTTAGCTGCCAAGAAACCAAACCAGAGGGCGAAAAGAATTAAGGCACATTCACTGCGGTTTGAAAGCAGTGGTCAGCTCTAATCACTGCTAAAGGTACCTTTAATGTGTGCAGCAGACATGCCATGGTAAATAACCATGGTTACTTGGATAGAAGAAGGGGGAAGAGTGTGTCCTTTAAGGCGTTGAAACGAGCGCCTACGAATGAGTTCTTGTGGAGAGTAATTGCAGAAATTACTGTTAGCAGCTGAAATGTCTGTGAGAAGGCTGCATGCTGCATTGTGAGCTTCTCTGAGCTACAATGAACTCAAGTTTCACCTGTGGAGTTTAGGCCTGTACCCTCTGCAATGAAACCTAGCTCAGATATAAACTATGGAGCTCTACGCTGAGCTCCAGCCCACCATAACCCTGCAGTTACCTCTTTTAAACCACATTACTCACCAAAGTGCAATTTAAGATCAAACTTTCAATGGGCTGGAAGTCATGCAAAGCAGTGAATTTGATTAGACCCTTCCTCAGAGTCAGTTAATATCTTCCAAACATGTTGACAAAGGTTCACAGGATCAGTTATTCTCTCTAAACATAAGTCTCAGGCCCAATCAGAAGTAATGTTGCCTAGCAACTATTAACAGATTACAGACATCTTAGTATAAATTGTTTCTAAATGGTAAACAATTAATCTTCACTTGCAAAAAAACAAGCATTGAAGCACCTTTTTAAACTTTTTAAAAGTTTAAAAGTTATATCTAGTATGTTTCTTTAACAGTGTGCATCTCCTTGTTTCTTTTGAGTGTTTATAATCAAGCCCATAATTTATTTTGGTTGCTTCGGTGCTTAAAAGGAACGTTCTTTATCTCATTATTTCACCACTATAAAACCTTAACCCTGCACTACAATCTGAAGTCTTGAAATACAGATTCAAATGTTAAAAATCAGGATTTTTTAAAGCAAGAAATCACGTGATTTAAATGCTAAAGGAGGTCGTGGGCTCTATCTGAATAAAACCTATGACGTTTGACTTTC